CCTGGTTACTTCCTACCTAAGCCCACCGCTTTTGGTCGCTACCGTGTTGTTATGCAGAAGTGATGTAAGTTTTACATTCAAGAGGTTTAATTAACTAATAACATATTGAGAATGTCTTTGTGAGGTAATTTTGTCGTAAGAGAAGTAGAGTTGACATTTAGCTTATGTAGGCTTAAATGGAATGAATGAAGAATAATGTGAAATGGGGAGAATAAATAACGAGTGCTTCTTGTTAAATGCAACGGGGCTGATGTTACTCGTAGGCTTAAAAATACTGGTTTTGTACAGTGTAGTGTAGCTCACAGAAAACACTACTGCCTTTCTCATAGTAGTTTCAAACCAGTAAGTATATCTTGCAATGTTTTAAAACATAACTGAAGGGCGATTTAAGTTCATGTCACTCCATTCACAGCCTCCGTATATGGCAACTTCTTCAGGAAACCCAGCAATATTTATCTGCGGTTCAGATAATATCTATGATACTGACACCTGTAGGGTTTTCTTTTTTTCCTTTATGAAAGGCAATCTACATGAAAATGACATTTTTAAGAGTCAACAGCAAGTATCCATATCATTGGGCATCCCAGATTCCCAGCTGATGTATGTGTGTGGGGGTTTTTTTGGAGTCTGAGTTTTTCACCTGCTGGCTTTTTGAGAAATACTTTCTTGCCAGCCTGACTGTCAGACATACCAATAATTTACGAAATCAAAGGTTTTCCTCATCTTTTCATTGGAACTGCATCTTCCCCTCTTCTGGCATTTTTATGGGATCTTGTTTTCCCTGAAGATCCATAATGCCAAATTTTCTTGTCTTTTTTCACCCTTCACACATATTTTTCTTATTTATGTATTTTTCTCATTATATTAATTCTTATCAAGGGTCACATATTATTTTCAAAATTATCTTTCTTGTATCCAGATTTCTGTTATTGGAAGCAGTTTAACCAGAAATAAAAATGTTGGTTGGGTTTTAAAATAGTTTACATTAACGCAATATGTCTTGCCTAATTTAAAATTCCTGCATACGGATTTTTGCTGTCCTCACTTTTGGGATATGTATTTGTAAAGCAGTGCTTTCCAAGTTAGGGCACCATGTGTTTGGTCACCCAGGCTATAACAGCAGGAAGGCAACCATCTCTGCTTTTTGCTGTCATCACAAAAATAGACATTTTCCTTTTCTGTAGTCAGGAAACTCAGTATTTGAGGCTGAACAGTTGTTGGTTGGTCTTTTTTTGGGTTTTGTTCCCTAGATTTGCTTGCTTTGTGACTTGAGCTGCATGTTGGTATACAGCAGCCCAAAGCCTTCCTTACAATCATGTGGCACCTCAGACCGGTTGAAAAAAAATTTGGTAAGAGGAGTTCCTGTGAGTATAGAAAGATTTGTACTGAGAAGTAGAGACTGTATTAAAACTGAACGCATGGGCTCAGTACGCTAGGATGGCAGATTTGTAAAGTAACCCAATGCAATAACTTCAGATATTATTTTTTCCATCAACTAGTTAATTTAAAAGTTGATTCTGTTACTTAGATGTAGATGCAAAATATATGTATCATTTTAATGTGTACTCATGGTTCTCCAAGCACCTATTATAGGTGCAAGTGCTAAATCAAACATTAACATAATTTATTTTTGAACGTCCAAAATACATTTTCTCATATGTGAAAATATTTATACAAACTATATTAAAAAAAATAGTTTTGACATATTTACTCGTCTTTAGGAAAAAGAACCATCGATAAACCACATCCTCCGGCTATAGGAGTGATACACCACTGTATTCATTTGCTTTGGACCCTAGAAGAAGACTCAGATAGAAGAGGATCATAAGGACAATGGTTATAATATTCAGTTGAAGAAGATGATCCAGATATATACACAGGTAGAAAGTTAATGTGGTACTGTCTTCAGATTTGTAAAGCATTTTAAAGTTGAGAGTGACTGAAATGCTGAATACTTGCTGTAAATGTCTCTCTTGCAAGACTAAGATGGTAAAGTAGAATTTTGAATTATTACCATTTAAAGTAATTTGTTAACAAATATTTTGAATAATTCCGTTTTTGACTAGATATTATCAAGGAATATTTTGCTACCCCGCTACATGCAGATTTTTTTCAGAAGGGGACATTGCAAGTCCTGAATAATTTCAGAGCTATTTCATACCGAGGAATCTGCCGTGTCTTCCTTGTTCAGATCTATCATGGTGCGACTTCTTATATAGGGTCAGTCAGTCCATGGAGGAACAGCATGCACAACTTCTGTCGGCTTCACTGGGTCTGTTTTTGTTTTCTACCCTGCTTATGTATGAGGTATCTCCCAAAGAAGCTCTTGACAATTCTGGAGTCGCTTGGAACAAACCAACACTTGCCATACGCTTAGATAACATTCACTTTTTAGGTACTGTCACAAATGAGTGCAGGCACTCTGTTTCCCTTTCCTTCGAACTGAGTGTGAAGTGGTGGTGGCAGTAAAATTCAGCGTTTGCTGGTTTGGTTATGAAGGGTGCCTGCTTTGGTCCTTTTCCGACAGACGAATATGTTTCCTAGCGACACATATAATAATGCGCTTTGAAAATGTATGGAGGAAGCTTGTCACTAGGTGGCAGAATTAGACTGTATCAGTACTAACATTTTTTTTATGATTTGTCCAGTTGACTTCTTTCTATTCCATAAATACCATTCTAGCTATACCCAGCATTCAAAAAGAGCTGAATGTTAAAACAAATTCTAATAAAGGCAGGTGTTTTGAAGGACTGTTTTTTTTTTTTTAAATAGCAGGTATACTATGCTGGACTTCTGAATTGTTGTAAATATTTGATAAATACTTCACTTTGGATTTGTGATAAAACTTGCTGCTCTTCTGAAATCTTCACTCCCACATTTTAGAAATATTTTAGTACTCAAATTTGTAGATGATCTGTAAACGAGAACATGTTGTTCCCCTTTGGTGTTTTCCAAATATGTATAATATTCAGATATTGCTTGAACTACATGTGCAGATGAAGTATTTAAATGTGCAAATGTCTTTTCTTGTCTCTAAATTCCATTTTTCATATGAGAACAGCTAATGCACTGGCACAGTTAAGGTTAGTTACAAATTAGGTTTTTCCTCTGTGTGACAATTTTAAATCTCTTTAATCAGGGTCATAAGCTAAACTGAAAAAACTCTGCTCTAATTGGAAAAAACAGTGATTATTCCATTTGTATTTTGCTCTTAATTTATGACTTAGCCTATATTGAAAAAAATTGTTATGCTCCAATATAAATTATATCTTGGTGCCTAGATTTGACAGATGCATCCGTATGGGAGCAGTGATGCAGAACTTGAGGACATTTTATTTGGAGGGATAATGCATATGTTTTGAAAACTTTGTAGAAACATATCTGATCACTTGCTATGTGCTGAAATGTTTGGAAAGTCTTTGGAATATTTGAAGGAACATACGAGACTTTCTTTTCTTTTTAGAGGATATTCTACACAGCATGTTGTAGGTGGCTGTAAACCAAGAATATCTTACAAGATATCGACTGAAGGTCCCTAGCCCTAAAGGAGCCTTTGCTTATAGTCCAGTTATCTCTGTGCTTCCTACTAGAAAGCAGTACAGATTTTAAATTAGAATGAAATGACTAATTCAAGGACTCCTTAGACAGATTTAGGAAAAAAAAAAAGAAAGGAACGCTTGAATAAAAGTGTTTTCTGAGCAGATATTAGGGAAACCATACAATTTTACTTTAATACTCAGATTAACTAATATGGACTAAAGTTATTCTGTAGATGAAATTATAGTTATCATAATCTCTAGAGTACTCTCTAACATAATTTTAAAAATGAAGAATAAAACATTACTTGATTTTCTTCTTTCTTTTTGTTTTTAGTTATTTTTAAAAATCTTTTTTCCTTAGCCAAGTGTTGGTCGTTTGAGGTAAGCAGGTGGAAAAACAGCTGTGTAGCTTTTATGTAGCTTATCTCGTGCCTTCTGGATTTAGAAAGAATATGGTTATGATACCAGAAATGTTTCCATCAATGAAAGTGTAGACATGCATGCTCTTTCCTGGGACTTACGTAGCCAGCATGTTTTACTGAGAAGGTAGGTTGTATTTCAGGTGTCCGAAACACCAGTCAGTGAGGATCTTGCCTTGAGTGTGTTGTACTTCTGAAGTAGCTGAAAATTGCTGTTGGAGGTGCTCAGTGGGATGAAACCAACCACAGAAAGGGTGTTCGTAAGCAGACAAAGGCAAGAGGAACTTCTGTAACAGGCAGGTGTTCCACTGTCATGAAAATAATATTAAAATCATTAACAATGAAAATAATAAAGATTTTTTTTTCTAATAAACATTCTCATGTTTGAATAATGTCTGCTTCATATCCGGCAACTCATTTTCAAGTTTGTCAGAAGTTCTAGTTTTTCGTATTTTTAGCTGACACCTGAAATGACTTCAGGAATTCATTTTTTACCACGAGCCTTCTTCATTAAATCTCCAGGTTGGCATTGCAGATGTTCTTTCCACAGCAAAGGAGAGTTTTCCTAAAACGTGAACGTATGTTTTTATAGACGCTGTTGTTGTTTAAAACTGATAGTATGTAAGAGTCGTTGTACGGAATGTTTGAGAGACTTAGATGCGGTAAAGTGAGCTTGAGGAGATTCATTGGATGGTAGGCAGATCTTCCAAAGTTGAGACTTGTTTCTTCATGCAATTGTAACAAACCTTCAGCTTTTCAAGTAATCAGAGATTGCTTAAAATAATAGTTTTGGAAGCAAAGTATTACTGTACAAGTCACATAAACCCCTCGCCCAGATCATTACGGGCAGCATCTAATCTCTGGCATAATTTAAGCATTAAGATTTTCTTCTCAAATTCTTGCAATGGCTAAACTGGAATAACTGGAGAATCCACTACAGTAGTACATAAATTATTCCAGGGATTAATTACCCCCATAAAAATGTACACCTTGTGTCTGGTGTGTACTTCATTAGTTTTCGTCTCCAGTCAATGCATCCTCCTCTGCCTTTGCTTGCTACACTGAAAAGCTGAGATGCCATCAGCAGCTTTTGCTCCCCGTTTCGATACTTTCTAACTACTTTTGAGCTTTTTTGTTTCATAACTACACAAAGCAGAAAACTAAGTCATTTTGCTGTAGGTTGGTTGCGTTGCAGATTAGACTGTGCTGGTTCAGAGCAGTCCTCTGCTTGGTCTAACATCCAGAAGGTCTTTATACTAACGTGTCGTTTCCTACTATCCAATATACATATATATATAACACACATATGTGTATGTTTGTGTATATATACACCTGTGGACTAAATAGCAAAAGAAGTATAGTTTAAGCCTGAACTGTAGGTTGGTTGCGTTGCAGATTAGACTGTGCTGGTTCAGAGCAGTCCTCTGCTTGGTCTAACATCCAGAAGGTCTTTATACTAACGTGTCGTTTCCTACTATCCAATATACATATATATATAACACACATATGTGTATGTTTGTGTATATATACACCTGTGGACTAAATAGCAAAAGAAGTATAGTTTAAGCCTGAAATAACTTATTGCACCAACTTTTGTTTGTTACAGTTCATTTCTGATTAACATTCAGAATATTTTAACTCTGATTTCTAAAACAGTGTCTGCATATTATACACAACAAAACCGAATAGGTTTCTAATTTATATTCAGCTGGAAAGATGTTCAATAAATCAGAAAAGAAACTACTCTATTTGAAAGAAGATTTCTCTCCTCGTTTGGTAAAGTACAAGAGAATTCTGCTTAAATGAAGCATGCAATTTTAATCAATTGTACCCTAAGAAAAGAAGACAAACAGCTGCTGCTTGTTAATTGGTGAATGTCTTCTTCACCAATGGACTCATTTATTCACTGCTTTCAGTGCAGCCTGAAATTCTGTAAATAAAGGTGTTATCACCACGCAATATGACTGCCTGCACATTTGCAATGAAGCAGCTCAGGTAATACATGAAGAATTTCTTTCAAAAGACAAAGATGTGACCTTCCCCCTCGCAGATTCGTTGCTTTCATCTAAGAATCACATTTCCTGTGAAAGGTCAGATGTCTTCTGTGAAACCAAGGGATAAACCTATTATTTCATCTCCCTAGCTGAAAGATTACATTCCTGTTAAAAATGATACCAAAGTGTAAAGGTTTCCCACTCTGAGAAAGGATTCTCGTGTAGAACCACCGACTCTTGCGGGCTGGGAGGGACCTCCAGAGCTCATCCAGTCCAGCCTTCTGCTCAGATCAGATCTACCCACAGCAGGTTGCTCAAGGCCTTGCTCAGTTGAATTTAGAAGCTTTCCAAGGATGGAGATCCCGCAGCTCCTCTGTGCTCCAGTTCCAGAGTTTTACCACCTCATGGTGAAAGAAATTGTTACCTTATATAAAGTCAGAATTTCCCATCATCCAAGGTGAGTCTGTTACCATCCACCCTTCCGTTGTGCACCTAGGTGAACAGTCTCTCCACCTTCTCTGCACACTTCTTTTGGTAGCTGAAGGCAGCCGTTATCTCTGTTTTTCCTGTTCTCCATGAGTCTTCATGTAGTTTTATTTATTTTCCACAAGCTCTCTGTTACTTTAATTTATAGCTTCTCTTTTGAGCTGGGAATCTGTCCTACTCCCTGTTTCTGACTGCTCATTTGCAGGTCTGCAGCGGAGTTGCAAAGCTTGCCGGGGAAGTATGACACAGTGAAACATAAGACTTCAATTCAACTTGACAAAAGTTTGAGTGTTGTCTTCTTCTTTCCTTCCTGTTCTTTCATACTACTTCTCTCTTGTCTTATTCCCTTCTGTATCTCCTTTTCTTTTCCTCCTCTTTGCAAGTGATTTTTGCAGCTAAGGACTGTCACTGTGCTCGCTTGTTATGTTCTTATCTTTTGGTTTGCCCTTGCCTCTAGGTTTGTGCTTCATATTTTGGTTTTGCAACATTTTGCAATGTTCTGTAAATGTTATTTACATTATAATTGCCATTATAATGTTAAAATACATAAACGACATGCTATTGCACTTTCCAAATTCAGTTATCACTGTATCTTCTTTTATATCAGGCTTAGCTGTTCTATCTGCAAATTTTAGCTAAAACTTACTCTGCAAGCATTTGTATTGAAGCAAAAAGTGACAGAATAATGGAGTGGAAAAGGCAGGTATAGTGTGAATATATTTCCTGTATGATACATAGAGGCTATATGACATACAAAAATTGCTGTACGTATCTAGAATCACATCAATATCCATATTAAAATACATGAAGTACTTTTTATGTTATTCCTTTTTCATGTCTGGAGAATGTGATTTATAATCTAGTTTAGATCATAGTTAAAAAATATCATGTTAATATTAGTCTTGGGTTGTCTGATATATTCCAGATTTTGCTATAGGTGTTGGGGGTGAAAACAAATGCTCTTTCAGACCCCAGGTTGGGGCTTACCATTCCCTTAGCCCGTGCATGGGATGCAGGTTCTCATCTGCTTTGTTTAAGCCACTTCCTTTAATATCCAGTGGATACGGTTGGAGCTGGTTGAACTTGCACTGAAGTAGGTTAGAGTTTGCTTGCGGATTCTCTGGAGGGGATGGTGATCTCCAGCCCGAGAACTGGCATCAAGCAGCTGAGGGATAATAGCCCACAGTCCCGTAGCTGTGTCTGGCACAATAAAGCGTCTGTGCCTTCATCTCTGTGTTGTTGAGGGAACCGGGCGGCTTTGACAATCCGCTTTTGCCTCCCTTCTGAGCACTGAACGTTGTAGGTCAGAAGGGATGTCTTTTACATGGGATCTAACGAGAGGAATCTTTTGTTGTATGTGTTCTTTATGTATTACTGAAAGTCTGCATGCACTTGGCTCTAACCAGTAGGGATTTTTTTCCCCTTCACTAATCCATGTGTGTATTCTTAGATTTGCAAAGAAATCAAACAAAACTAATGTCTTTATTTAAAAATGTCCATCCCAAGATAAACTCCAGCAGACTAACGTGGGAGCACGACCAGATAATCAGTAGGCAGCCTTTTCTGTGTCAGACCTCACCACTTCACGTACATTTTGCGAGGGAGTTGCTTGAAAAACAACTATTTCTCCATATTCAAAGGCAAAGAATCACTGTACATCACTGTACGCTGTGCTGTGTGTCCTACTGATATCTTCCCTTGTATCCTGAAAGTAGTATTATGCCATTTTCACTGAAAAACCAGTATGTAGTCAAATGCCACTTTCTGTTTGTTGTAGGTCAGTTTTTATGTCCCTTTTACTGAAGGTTGAAAAAGCAGGAGTGAAGTAGCTCAGGTAGGCGAGTTCAGTGTGCTGGATGTGCAGAAGCACTCTTTAAAAGCAGAATGCTGAAGGAGGAGGGGCATGGCTCCGACTTAATCTGCGTTAGGCATCGCTCTTCGTTTACAGAGTTTAAGGAATTTTCTGTAGATCAGATGGTACCATCCAAATAATGTCATTTTAGGTCTAGGGTTCTGTCAGTGGGTGACTATGTCTTTAATTTCTAGGCTGTAACCAAATGCCACCTCCATCCTCGGTGTTAAAGGACATCAGCTAGGGTAGTGCAGAAATTACAGAACCTTGGCATAAACACTTCTTTTGGAATTTGGCAGTTGTTTCTTAGCTAAGCTGTAAATCCATAGAAGTCCTTGTGTGCTGATTGCTGCATTGTTTGACACCTACTCAACCCTAATGGCTGGCAATCACAGAACTGATGATCGTGGGGAGGCTGATAAAATTGTTGTTAGCCTCCAGCAATCCCATGCTTAAAACCTGTATTCGTTGTGATGGTTTGTCTTAACCGTCTTGACTTTTTCTTCCCTGGGCTCTGGCCATCCATGGAAGTTATTTCTCCTAACTAGCTTGGTACTCTTTAGTAAGTAACCTGTGTTCATGCAGTGTTGTCATATTTACTTACCTGGTGGGACAGCCACAAAACTTCTGTAGGTCTTTCCCTTGGAGCACCCGTGTGTCAGTCAACTACCTTCTGGTGATTTTCCCATTATTTTGGCAAGCAGGGCTGGTTTTACTGGGCAGCTTCATGGCCCACGTGAAGCTGTGCCATCCTGCATGGCAAGCTGATGAATTGTGCAGGTGGCAATGGCGTTGCTTGGTTGCTTTCATGACCTGTCTGTCATTCTTGGACTGCTTAAAGTGTTTCAGGAACTGGTGGGCTCGCTCTCTTGTATGCATTTTCTTACATGTATTGTCCCAAAGTTTTTCAGATTTCTTCTGATGTGGATGTTATGATTCACTGTCTTTACTTGAAAAAAAATGCTTTGTGTCATGTTTTCATCTCTGTCAAAGTACGTATTTACAACCAAGGAGCCAGGGTTTGAAAACTTTCTGAGCTTACAAAGTGTTTAAGGTTTGCTGGCTAAAATCACTGTGCAACTCTACATTCAGTGGACACAGAGTATTTTAAAACAGGCTGGTTACTTTTGCTTGCTGAGATAATGTTTTTAGACTAATTTTCTGAATTGTGAATTGCATTTACCTGCTCAGCCAGGGTGTTTAAGCGGGGTACGTGACATGCTTTTGACATTGTCCCATGGTCCTCACATGCAGTTCTTTCTGCAAATCCATTTCACTGCAGTGTCAGCTGGACTGTGACTCTACAGCTGACTGGTGGAGGAGGATGGACAGTCACCACACTCGCATTCTGCTCTCACCTTAATTTGCTTTATTTACGTTTTTACTACGTATTTAGTAAATGTATTGATGAGGTGTAGAATTATTGTATCAGTGACTGGGTAAGCCAGTATAATACTGTATTTTGAATCACATTATACATTGCTATATCCAAGACAACAAACCTTTTAATGTGAATTTAACCATAGTGTAGCTGACACTTTGCATATTCATTTCCATGGTGGTTGGTCTGCTTACTAGTGGGACAAATATATCCTAGTACTTCGAAAAGAACTGTGATAAATATAAATGTTTTCTCATTTAGAAATGAAAAAAACTAAACAGAAAACTTCATCTGTTGGTAACTGGAACTTGGTTTTGACATGATTGACACAGAAATGTTATTTGGCCGAGCACTGCATTGAAGACTCATTAGTTGAGAGAGTCCTACAGCTTTGTTAATTATAACCTCTGAGAGATATATGCAGATAATTAAGCACCAATCATATCTGGGTCTGACTGTAATATGCAGAATTGAAAAAAGACATCCATCTCAGGAAAAAAAGAAAGTTTTCTACATCAACATAGTGAGATTTTAGAATAGCTATCCAGCTAGCAGGGGGAAAGTTCTCATTCAACTGAGGACTCTACATGCTAAAGTTTGGAAAGACGTAAAATAATATGGTTGCTTGTAACAGCAGGAGGCTGGACTTCATGACCTGGATGATCTCTTTAACTCCTACGTTCATAAATTTTAAGAGACGTGTATACGTATATATATCTTCTATAAATAAACATACGGTGTCACATAAGGGGTGCTGTGGAACCATGCTGAGGGACAGAAGAGTCACAGTAGCAGAGGGTATCAGCTGAAAATCAACAAAATCATCTGATATTTTAATCATTTAAAAAATAAGTAAAATAATAATCTCTGATGAGATATTTCTTTAGCTGGCGTGCTACAAGGTTATGGGGTTCTTTCACAGTGTTTGTATTTTATTGTCATTTATTCACTGATTATTAAATTGTTGTATCTATTTTCATTTCCTATTATGGTTAAGGTTTTGAGAACCAGAATGATTTTAAACTAAATGAAGAAGGGGATCATCCAAGAACTACTAGTGTGGCTAGTACAGTTAATGATGTTGAGAGCATCTGAAGCACAGTATTCAGTAAAGGGAGAGAGAGGATGAGAGTGAAAACGCAAGACAAACACTCTTAGTTTAACATTTTAAACTTCATCGACACCTTCAGTCCGCCTAACCCTATAGATGCTTAAAGTTCACTGATAACTTGACAACAGACGTGAGCTCCAGCAAGGGAGGTTTCTGGCTGGATGCGAGAAGCAGCTCTCCACCACGAGGACTTTGAAGCAGTGGAACAGGTAGCCCAAAGAGCTGTGCCTCATCTTCATCCCTAGGAGTTTTCAAGACCGAACTGGATAAATCCCTGAGCAACACAGTCTGACTTCAGAGCTGACCCTGCTTTGAGCCAGAGTCAGTCTAGAAACCCCCTGAGGTCCCTGCCAGTTTTTGTGATCCTATGGTTAAGGCAGTTGTAGACATTCACTGCAGAAAAGGTGCCGAGTTTAAGATCTTACCATTTGTGTTGGACATAAGGCTTAACTAGAGAGCTGACGGAGACGTTCAGTGGCAGGGGAAAGCTGTTCTGGGCACACACAGCTGACTGTATTGAAGCACGCGAAGAACTATCAGAGACACATATCTGGTGGTTTTATTTTAGCCGTTAGTGCCACCGACCTCCAGCCGTAGGTGGTATAGAAATGCAGTAACAAACCTCTGGAGAATAAAAGCATCTTAAATATCTTTTCCTTTTTAGTATGAAAAGGGTGTTTTAGGAATTTAGCCAAGGAGACAGAAACCTATTTTCAGAGCCATGCTTTGTGTCTTTTAGAATAGAAGCTTAAGTCCAGGTCCTTCAGATTTCAGTAGTTTCCATCTGATATCTGGAAACATAAAGGTCATACCCTTGCACCAGAGTGGGAATTGAAAATTCAGTAGGAAGAAGAATGACATTCAATGTAAAATGTAGATGTTGTAGTGCCATCCCCTTTCTGAACTAATGGATAGTTAAGGCAGCAGGAGAGTCAAGATCTGAGTGTGGGTTTCTCAGCGCTTGTTTCCATGCTCGTCTGTCCTCTTCCCCTCCTTTGAAGCGAGGTAACCCTGCCAGAGATTTCAGAAAGCTCTTAGGACTGCATCAAGCTTTTAAAATATATTCACAGTGTTATTCCTTGTCTTTACTAGGTCAAGTATTTTCGGTTCTCATGTGTTAGAGTTAGGCTACCATCGGTACATTTTTACTCTTGTTTATCAGAAATTTACGTAGTAGGCAACAAACTTGAATTATTTTTTAACAGTGATAATGATGTCCTGGTTTTGCAGCGGGTTAATCTCCTTTTCTTCTGCATTTTTGATGTCACAGCCTGATGTTAGCTGCTTTTGCTGGTCAGCTGGATATGGTTAAGTACCTGAGAACACAAGGTGCTTCTTGGGAAGCCAGAGATCTGCGGGGCCGGACAGCTTTGCACTGGGCTGCAGGCGGAGGACATTGCTGTGCTATTGAGTGGATGATTGATGACAGCTGTAATGTGGGTCTGTACCTTCATCTATACATTTTGCAGAGAAGACAGCATTGTCCCAAATGTGAAAAGGTTAATTTCTTGTACTCATGTTCGTCCTGCACTGATACATATCTGAATACTTAGGGCAAAGAGTGCTGCTGCTTAATGGAAACTTATTTGCCTGAAAGGATGATGACAATGGCGTGGGTTCAGAAGAGTGAAGAACTGTGAAAATGACTGAAAAATGGAGGACTGGATAAAACCCTACCAATATGATAGCAATAAATAGAATAACCTCTAATTCTTTAGGACACTGATGCTTCCATTGTAGTGGTTTTCTAATTAGATCTCTTTAGTTAAATTTAATTAATGGGAAATTAACAGTTCCTTAACAGGGAACAAGGAGAAAGGAAGTTTTCTCATTAGTAGTTGATACAGGATAGAATAGGGAACGTTCCTTGCCTATACTTGTAATTTTTAGTTTTAAAAAAAGTAAAATATTTTGTTTTATTCGCAGGTTTCTGTGAAACGCGAGATGAGCAGGATTGCCTGGTTTTGGTTTCACATCATGGAGAGACACAAACATGCATTAGCAAACAAAATTGGATGTATTTAGTAATGGTTCAGTAAATATTAGCAAATAGATGGTATAATTTAGTCAACATGGTTGCAGTTGATAAGGTGTTGAAAAGCTCTGATCAAGACTGCTGGGAGGCTAAATGAAAAGCTGAAGATTCAGAGATAAAGATTGATGGATATAATGTAATTCTAATTGAGAATATTGGAGAACCGAAAGCACTGAGAAATTAAATTCATGACCTGTAAAACAAGCTTAGATTAAGAAAAAAAAATCAGATTGATAGAGGGTCCTGCAGGAGCAAGGGGCAAGAGAAGACTGGGTATGTGTTGGATAAGCTTAAGTTTTGCCTAATGATTTTCTTAAAGCTAGTTAGGAGAATATGTGTTATAATAGTGTAGGTGTCACTCAAAACTTGTATACTATGGGATAGAATTTAATCTTGTATTTCTTTTATAGAATTGAGAGTAAGGCTGGGTTTTTCTTTCCCCTTACAAATCCCCTTTCTTCCCAGTGCTGTCCTGTTTGGGAGCTGTGACTTGTGCTGAGATTCTCTGTCCCTCAGATCGCATCACTCTGCTCCCAACACTAACCTAAACCTGTGGTTCTGGCAGTTCTCTGGGGTGAGGGAGAAATGCTGCTTGACTGTCTTTGGAGGAGGGTAGGAGGATGTGAACTATGAGATGGAGACTTGGTTCGTGCAGCAGTGTCCCAGCTCTGGAGAGCGGGATGGAGCAGAGCACCCTCATTATCTACCAGGTGTTTCTGTCTCAGCCATCAGTAGGTTACCAGAGTTTCTGTCTTAACAGCTTTAATGCTGCTGGATATTTGTTATGCGAGTAATTTTATGGCTAAGGTGTTTACAATTCTATAATTTTTGTTACTTATTGTATTTGTAATGCTGTACAGTACAACATGGTATTGATGCTTATGGTTTGATGCTTTTAGATGAGAAGGAAGGAAAAGTTCTTCAATGGGAACTGCAGTTCTCTGGGAGGCATTGCCTTGGACACGTTCTGCTGTGGGTGAACATGTCCTGAGAGGTGTAGTTTGGAAAACTTTCTGTTTAGCAGTAGCTACTGAAAGGTGTTTGTCTTGACTTTTTTTCATGCTCAAAAGCATGTCTTGACTTTTTTTTATTCCTCAAAAGACAAGAGACTTTGAAGAGGAAGGGCAAGATGTAGGATAGCATCTCTCCAAGAACTGTATTGCACTGGGAAATAACCATTCTTCATTGAGCTTTTCACAGAATCACAGAATGTTAGGGTTTGGAAGGGACCTCTGCGGGTCATCTAGTCCAACCCCCCTGCCGAAGCAGGGTCACCCAGAGCAGGCTGCACAGCACCTTGTCCAGGCGGGTCTTGAATATCTCCAGAGAAGGAGACTCCACAACCTCCCTGGGCAACCTGTTCCAGTGCTCCATCACCCTCAGAGGGAAGAAGTTCTTCCTCATGTTCAGTTGGAACATCCTCTGCTTCAGTTTGTGCCCATTGCCCCTTGTCCTGTCGCTGGGCACCACTGGAAAGAGTCTGGCCCCATCCTCCTGACACCCACCCTGCAGATATTTAGAGGCATTTATGAGGTCCCCTCTCAGCCTTCTCTTCTGCAGGCTGAACAAGCCCAGCTCCCTCAGCCTCTCCTCGTAGGAGAGATGCTCCAGTCCCCTCATCATCCTCGTAGCCCTCCGCTGGACTGTCTCCAGTAGCTCCTCATATTTCTTGCAGTGGGGAGCCCAGCACTGGACACAGCACTGCAGATGAGGCCTCACTAGGGCAGAGTAGAGGGGGAGGAGAACCTCCCTCAACCTGCTGGCCACACTCCTCCTAATGCACCCCAGGATCCCATTTGTATGTTTTCCTGTTATGCTGTGGTTGACTTAGGGCTGCTATTGGAGATGAATATCCATTGGAAAACTACCAAATTCAACACCTTTTCTGGAACTTTCTTGCAGCCAGAAAGTTTTTGTTGTTGCATTTCTGCATCCTCAGTACTTGGAATAGACACATTCTGTAAGAAAAGCATTGAAGTTGTTTGATATCTGATGACATGAGCTCTGCTCACCATTAATAGAATTGCTGAACCAGTTTTGTATCTGTATTTTAAGCATTCCAAGACTCCAGAGACTATATGGTTGCTGAGGACAGAGATTGTTATGGCTTTGAATTTCCACTCTGGCCATTTCATAGAGTTCTAGAGAGACTTTGGTCCTTGCTTATTGGCTTGTAGCTGTACCCGTTTTAAAGGACTCAGATGAAGAAGATGTTTAATTGGATGAGTTTCTGATAGAACTAACTGAGCCCTCAAGGAGACCTTATCCACACAAAAAACAGTTTAAAGCATCTGTGATTAGAACTTGGTGCTGGGAAAAGTAGTGGCTTTGAAATAATGAACTTTTTTGGACAGAGGGAATGATCAGCAGCTGCTGGCTGAAGGGATGAAATAAGAAGTGAGTAAAGTTATAATTTAAAGTTCCAGCAGCAAACCACACCTGTTGTTGGAAAAAATGAAAAAAAATGAAAAAAGTTTTGGTTACAGCCTTGAGAAACTTCAGTACATTCCAGAGGGGGGGGGAACACAAACAGGCAGTGATGAGACAGGGTTTAGGCGCAACTTCATAGAATGAAGAAACAAGGTCTTGGCATGTCGATAGTCTAGAAAAGTCAAAGCTGTAGAAGAGAAATCTCAAATGTGAGCATATTGCAAATGTAATTCACCTATTCCAATCAATCCATTTAATTATCTTTCCTGGTATTTATGATAGTGCTTCAGAAGATGATTAGTGTACACAAAGCTTCATCGCAGAAAGCAGCGACGAAGGAGGGGAAAAAAGGAAATTCCTTAGAGAAGCTTGAATAATATCTTCCTTTGTAGTCACCTTTAGGTTTGGGATTGGCTTGAACGGCTGCAAAAAAATCGTCTGTGTCACAGCAAAATCTGTGCTGCTGTACTCTGGAGCTCAAAGCTGACACTGGGAATTACTCAAGTAGAAAATCTGGAATTTGGCTTTATGCTGTGGCCTGGCATAGCAAATGAGCTGTACCCACAGTGTGCTTCTGCGGACCTGGGGCTCTCCTCACTTGCAGAAATACCAGGTGTGCCCGTCTGAGCAAGGCACGGTGCCGCTGTGGGAATGAGTCGGGTCTGTGTGCCTTGGAAAAACAAAGATAAGGCTCAAAAGACAGGCCTGGCTGAAACAAGAGCAGAAAAAGAAGCTCATTTGTGTAGAGGATTTAGATAAAATTGGCTAGGGGAGCCGTAAGCCTGTCAAAAGACAGTAGAGCACAAAGAGGATACAACACAAAGAAGGAATGAATGACAGAAGACGACCCCAAAATGATAAAGAGGGAATATGTGAAGGAAGGGTATGCTGGATGTGGAAGGGCCAAGGTTGTACAGACCTTCTTGAAGAGAAGAATAGAAAAACGTGAGCGTGAGTGTGCTCATTGCAGGGCTGCGAAGGTCCGGACATCTGCTACGTGGGCATTGCTGTGACAGCGCAGTCTCTGAGCTCACCTGCGGGTTGCAATATCGGCACTCGCACGGGAGGTGGGTAAGGATACCCCTGCTTGAAAGCGTAAATGCAAGCTTCAAAAGGTTAAAAACATATGAATCATATTAGATCTATTGTCCTGTAGTTTGTTATCTCTTACTGAATGCTTGAGAATATTGGATTTTTACGTAACCTTTCTGCTCTAGTAAATCTGGAGGATTTTTCTGTCTTCAGAGCTGTTATTTTTCTTGAAATTAGGTTAGTAATTTAAGGCAATAGATTGAAAATAATTGCAAAGGATGGAACAGTCCAAAATTTATACAAAATACATTTCTAGGGATGAGAATTGTGAGCACTGAATCTGTTCACTGAATGAACACATTTCAAAATTATGCTAGTGGTAAACAAGGAGGAGTTTGATTAATTTTTGCAGCTGTTCCTGACCTATGTTTTGATATAAATATGTAAGTCTCATGCAGACTGCTTGGGCATTACCTAAAAATTCTTTCATACCATCTATTTGATGCAGTTTCCAAGGTACTAGGCTTTACTTTCTGCCCAAATCAAACAAATGGCTTCAGTACCAACCTGGTGATTCTGCGTTGCATCCTCGTGTGGGCTGTGAGTAGCAGCAGGGGCATTAGAGTGCTTTGGTACTTTCTGCTCTATTAAAACCTTCGTCCGTGGTTTAATGCGGTCACCAGCACCCCAGATTAGATTGGTGCAGGACATAGATTAGACCTTTCAAGCAGGGTTTAGGATTATCGTTGAAGGACGTGCTCCTTGGACTCCAGGAGGAAGTACCTGGACCTGCAGCTGCAACAGCTATATGTTGATACTGTTTTTGCAGGTATTTTTTAGAATCTCATTTCTGATGCTGATGATTCTGCGAAGTATTGCTTATTATGGTTGTCCTTCAAGTCTGTAGTCACGACAGGGGCTGCACGGTGTGAAGGCGTGTTGGCAAGTGGCAGGTAGCGTCATGCAGCTCCTCTAAACTGCTCTTCGTCAAGCTTGCAGATCTCAGTATTACACAATAATAGAGAACTTCTGCTGCTGGGAAGTGGAGGAGAAACTGCTGTTGAAAATGAGATAGCAAAAGTAAACATAGCTTTCTCTCTTTTTTATTGTTAAAAGGAATATGCTGTTAGTTTTGTCTTTCAATATTGTAAAAGACAACTTGGAAGACTGGAAGTTTTCAGAGACTGATGTGAATGATTTCTAGACATAGATTTTCTGGCTCTGGGTTTACTTTTTTAAATGTATTCCTTTCTCAATTTTTAGTGATGTTTGTTTGTTTGGAGCTTGATCAATTTATTAGAAGACAAGAAGAAAAAACTAAGAGAACAACAGCTATTTCCCTATCATCCAGCTCAGAGATGGACTTGGGTAACTTCATTTTTTTCCACCAAGACAGCGAAAATATGAACACTAGACCTCAGGTAAATGCTGTAACGTGCCTGTTTCGCCTCTCCTATTCAGTTTTCTGGGACCTTGGCACTCATTAAACTGTGGAGCTCAGCCTCCGCTTCAGCCTGTTCTCCTGTATTTCAGTGTATCTATGGGATTTACAGTCACTGTTGGCTTACAGCTAAACCAAAGCTCTCTTGCATGCAGCATTAGATGTAAAGCAAGAAATTCAAATAAACAAACATATTTTTTGGCATTCCCCTGAGGATATTGCAAGCTGTCTTTAAACTGCTAGAAATTAAATGCAGAATTAATTTTTTTTCTCTACTGCCTCCCTCTCTTCTTCAAGACCATTTTTACTTTCATGATAGTCCCTTTAGTAAACAAAAATTAGCATTTCTTATCCAACCTTGTTAATGCTAATCTCTAAATTTTCCAAAGAGATGCTTCTTTACTTCAGATCATGGGCACAATGCTTGTGCAGCAGAGTTAGCTTCAGCTCTAGAAGTGAGGAATGTATTCAAGGTGTTAGGGCACCTATGAGGAATATACTCAAGGTGTTAGGGCATCTAATATTCTTTCAGAGAAGAGTATTAGACTACAACTAACCTGATGTATCATTGTCAAAAAATATACTTTAGCTTTTGGCTGTCAGAATTAAAAGGTAATTTACAACTTTAATTGTAAAATAGTCTGATATAAACGACCTGAGATCTTTTCAGACCTGTGTGAGTGACACTGGTGGGAAGGTAGAAATTAATTGCCACTGTTCAGTTCTACTCAGAAAAGGTACTTTTACCTTTAAAGATATAAACCCTTCATTTTTGCATTTGACTTAGCCCGGTATTAAATAATACCTTAATTTACTTTAAATTATTGCATGTGGGGTATTGTTGTAGGTAGCCCACTCTGAAGGAGGCATTGAACAAAAATTTAGAGGAAATTATATTTTCATACCAACACGTATTTAGTAGGAGGCTGTGTCGATTGCAGAGAAAGAGAGAAATGGTGGTTAATTCCCATAGACTGGTGAGGCATATTTGTGTTTTAATACAAATAACATTACATTTTCACAGTGGGAGAACTGCTTAAAGGGTCATAGGACACAGTAAACTTTGAGAACAGGGTGTAGAAATTATATGTTAACTCATCTTAACCACAGCTAGTATTTGATGATTGTCTGCATGTTATAACATGAAATATGCATAGACTAGTGTTTAAAACTTTTATTTTTTTTAATGCATTGTTATTCTTTCTAGTTTGTAACATGAAATGTTGTAGTGCTGCCAGGTATTTGCTTCGCTTTGAAATGGCCGTGCTACCCAGCACCCAAGGAATAACTTGTGCAAACTTACAGGGGTAACTAGGTCAAAATACAAAGTTTGGTCCAAGAAGTAACTTTCGTTTTTTATAAAGTCTGTTCAAAATTTGTTATATTTTCTGATAATGAACAATGCCATGTGGCTTTCTCTTTGTTTCTTGTTTGCTTTGTTTTTCCCAATGATGCTTATACTACCACTCCTCCACGCATCCTTGTTTTTTGCCGTGATGTGGACAAGTTGCCAGAACAACAGATACACTCATAGAAAAAGGCTATTGAAAATTGAATGTGGAAATTAAAATACAATTCAGAAAATAATTCCATAAGTTGCTTGAATGCTTTTAAAGAAGAAAGCTTCTAAAATTGTTGCAGAAACATTTTCCTTTACTGGGGAATATAGTAGTATCTCCCTGTGATATGACTTTACTCTCTGCTTCTTATGTATAGATGGCTTTAGAAAAAGGAAAAAGACTATAATTCTAGGATATGCTTTAATATATTGCTTTTTTTAAGGTACTGTTTAAATCAGAAAAGATTTCTGGCATTCTTCTACTTCAGGATAGTACCTGCAAGGAAAAGTCTGTTAACACAGCATTTTAAAAACAACAACAAAACCCTCCCAAAGAAGCCACAGCGAATTACGGCGGTCACAGGAGGATGTGACTGAGATTGGAAACCTGCTGCTTGGGAACTGGGAATGGCAGGCAAAGACGCTTGGACCGGGAGTCGGGAAAGTCAGTCTGACTGCAATGGAGCCAAGATGCAGGATTGCTGTGGTCCATTTGCTGGCAGCAAGCATCAGTGACGCTGCTAATGAAGCACACGCTCTGTCTTCTGTCCGCTGTCCCGTCTGTTGCTGCTGCTTGTTACAAAAAAAGGATGGTCGGGTAAAGTCAGGCGTGCCATGGATATGATTTCTGTGTTTTGGGGGTTTAAAAATTACTCTTAGATGTCTTCATATCAAGTAACATCAAGACTGCAAAGTCAAGTGTTGAAAAACGCAAAATTAAAGTTACTTTTTTTTAAAAAAACATGATCCTTTCCTCCAGATAATCATAGAATCATAGAATCATAGAAAGTTTTGGGTTGGAAGGGACCCCTAGAGGTCATCTAGTCCAACCCCCTCGCAGCGAGCAGGGACACCGCTAACGAGATCAGGGTGCTCAGAGCCCTGTCCAACCTGGTTTTGAATGTTTCCAGGGATGGGGCCTCCACTACCTCTCTGGGCAACCCGTTCCAGTGTTTCACCACCCTCATTGTAAAGAATTTCTTCCTTATATCCAGCCTAAAATATATTGTATCTTCCTCAACTTGAGCCACAGCACTGACAACCGCAGGGAACTCCTTCCTCTCGCAGGGCGCTCCGGTCCCGCTCCGACGCCCGGCAGCAGGCCAGGGTGGGAAGGCCGCTTCCAGCGCGCGGGGGTGACACCACCACACGGCTCCACACACGGGCTTGGACGGCCGCCTC